TTCTACAGCACAGAATTGGTATTCTCTAGCCAAGGTTATAATCAGCTTGATGTTGGGCTGTGGAGGTTTTCACTGGGACGCCCTCTGTCAGCCTCTGAGCAAGATATGCCTGTGAGGAAGATGGAGACTTTACATCTCTTGCTTTTACCTGGAAGGATTTGGAGAATATCCTTCCAAGTATCACAAGAGTGGAAAAGCAAGTATCCCATGTACTCAATGCTAAGATGAAAGTAGTAGATGAACAACTACAGGCCCGTATGAGAGAAACACACAATCAAATTCAAAAAGGAGCAGGGTTAAGGGGGTTGGCAAGTTCCCACCTAACGGGTGTAATGGAGAGGTCTATGGCACACCTCCTGGATGAAGGGCTCGACTGCAACTCAGACTTCACCTAGCAAACCCAAACCCTTATATTAATCTGAAATTTAAAAAACATTAAAAAAGAAATGTGACTGTGGCTATGTGGCTATGCCGGGTCAGCCCGCCTGGGTCAGCGATCTCTGTGTCTGTCTAAAGGCCAATCAATCAATGCCTATGGGTGTTGCCCACTTCACCCTACACCCCACCCCGCCTGATGGACAAAAGGAAACAAACTAGGAAGAAGAGAAGAGAGGAAAAGGAACCAACTAGGAAGAGAGGAAAAGGAAATAAACTAGGAAGAGAGGACAATGCACCACAGCGCTGTCGTCACCTGCCTCACGTAGCACACGGTGACGATTCCTGTGTCAGACTGCCTGAGCTTGCTTACAAGCCAATGAAAGACCACCAGCAATGACTGCTGATTCTTTGACCAGAAGGCACCTCAGTCACTATCTAAAGGGAAAACATCTGGTATGATTAGAAGCTGAGAACACCCTTGGACGTAACCTTCACCCTGACCAGCCTATATGATACCTTGGTAGAAATGAGGAAAAGGGGTCCCTTTGTCTAGGGCTCACTGTGGCAGATGGAGCACTGGCTGAACATCAGAACTCACCCCATCAGAATTCACAATTCATCAGAATTGTCCCTTGTGTGATAAACACCCCGTACAACTGCAGAGCGCCTGCCAGTACTGCTTGGCAGGGTCCCGGAAACAGTAACAACCAGAAAAAGTACTAGACTTGGAGTCAGAAAAATCGGAATCATTGCCTTACTTCCCTCATGTTAAAAGACTTTAGAAGGGTTACTAAACTCTGACAAGGTTTCCTACATCTGGAAAATGGGAAAAACAAGACTCTGACTAGCTCTGAGCAGTGTGAGTGAAGTAAGGATGTGAGAGCCCTAGAACCGCCTGTGGCACGTC